CACACTTCAGCGCCTGTAGCGTAACGAAACATGGCCAGCTGGTATCGCCTGGGATGTTCTTCTAACTGGATCAACTGCGTGAATTCCATCCCATTCGCTTTTCACGCTCTAGTTGTACGGCAAACCACTTTCTCTCATCGCCAGCGCGGTTGACAATGGAAGCAACGAATGCTGTTTAATGAGGACCGAAGCCTGACACGGTTGTACCTCTGCCCCCCAAAAGTACTACCGTTAAACCGCCTCAGTAGCTGATAAACTCCCGTGTGCCACTCGAACATTATTTGAGCAGCATGCAATATCATACATGGCAGAGAAACGTTTAGGTTTGCACACACGGGATACCCATTCAGAGGCTGTATTTTCAGCCCACAATTTAGCCTTGTTCAAAGCTCGTATGGACGGTGCACTAACCCTACTACATAATAGCACGTAACCGAACCAGCCACACGGATGGGATAGAAACAAAAATAAAACAACCCACCTCTATTTTTACTTGAAAATCACAACCAATTACGTTAGAAAATGCAAAACCCTAGGTGTGGACCACTCAGATGCGGAAAACTGCAACAGGCAGGTTGACACTTGGTGGTTGTTCACTATAATCTATTGCTATTATTGCCTCCATTTTGCGCACCGCTAACCAATCATCCAGTGGGAAATGTCAAGCTCCGGACTTTTGCCTATGCAATTGCCCATAGATGATCCAGTGTTCTTTTGCAACAGACTAACAAGCACATGCACACGTGTCTCAGCGTTTGGTGGGTAAGAATCTGATGTCAAGAGAAACCACGTCCTCGGTGTCAACCGCGATGGCCGACACTAACTGATAAGAAGAAGCGGTGCGCTGGTGCGATCTAACCTCTGCACATGCATTGCTCGGCTTGCCGAATGCTTCTGATGTTTTGATTACTGTCCGGTTCACTGACGATAAAGTCTGCTAGCTCCGCCGCAAGATTCTGCGAAGTTTTCACAGTCGCTTTAGTCTGGCAGCAGCATGAACCAGAGACTAAGCAAAACAGTTGGAAACGTCTCGGACGACGGTCAAAGTTAAAGGAAGGATTTCAGGACTGGTGGGTGTATCGCAACCCATCAGAACCTCGTCGCTAGGGACAGCAAGCGCCCTTATAATCAAGTTTGTCTTGTGATTAATAATTTGTACGCTGACTGATTTGACCGGTACATAGCTCCTAGAACTAACCATTGTGGACCGCACTGTATACCGCCAGATTTGTCGGTTGCTCAGGCAGTTCAGTTACATCTAAACCAGATGTACTATTCTCGTGGCCCCAAACTCAGGAAATACAACGGCGTCAGTGTTCTGCTTTGTCGACAATGTACAAAAACAGTAAAACTGGGATACAATAACTAACAATGAACGTAAGCCGGAAAACCTGCCAGCGCCAAGCTTAATGGAGTAAAAAGACTGAAACATCGGTTAGCAAATCAAAGCCAAAGAACAGCCACAGGCTGACAAAGAACAACCTTTACGTCAGGGTAAAATTTGGCCCGCATAATTAGCGCTCAAATCATCAGTCGATCAAAGAAAAGTTTACCGGTGCGGAATTTTACAAACGGGGTTAAAAGTTAATTTAGCCACAAGAGAACATGGCCTCAAAAATTTAAGTTCCAGTTTAAGGGGTACTGAACCGATAAGCTTAACCCGTGTGTTTTCCTTCCTGCGGCTCGTCGAAGCAAGGGTTGACGGAGGACCTCGAAAGACAGATAGACATAAAACAAAGCTTGCACCACTAGTTCTTCAGCTAATCTTTGTCCACGTGCGTCGCTTTGTCCAGGAGCAAAAATTTACACGTTTGTACTCTATCCTAGCAGTCCCCGTATGCCGGTTGCATGAACTAAGTTACCGATACCGTAAAAGCATGTGCAAAACAACAGCAAGAGAGACAAACAAGTGGAATCATTTAAGTTGAATCATTCTGTCACTCGCCGTGCTGGTCGGAATTTTTTCGTTGCTCCTGACTTTTCAAGTTTTCTGATTCAAATTTCTTCGCACATCGGCCTGGGTACACTCATTCAATCGGGCTCGATCAGGTCTACCCATTGCGCAAACTTTCTTGAGGGTACTATCAACGGATCAACATCGAAAGCCGGTTTTCAATTTTGGCTGTGTTTCAGCACAGTCGTTCGTCTACGAGTGCACTGATTTTCTGCCTTCATCAAGGTTTTTGGAGTTATCGGAAAGCTTATTGCTAGGTCTACTTCAAGAGACCTAAACCACCCCTGTTGGTAGCTGCATAAGGCATCTAGAAGCAATTATATCTTCGTACACTGCCTTGGTTGGCCAAGAGCTCTCACACCGCTTTGTGAATCGCGCTCTATCGAACGCACGCAAATCTCTTTGTTTGGCTGGATTTGTGCGTGTGCGCCTGTTGGAACTTGCGGCATAACGCGACGCGGCGCGCCACGGAGTTAACCTCAGGGCTACCTGTGCACGGAGCGGTCGATTATTGAAGGACAATCTACCCTCGGCGGACCTTGGACAGCTGAGCACTCTTACAATCGGTTGGTTTGTATCGATCATGGCACCTGAAACCGTGGCCTGTTTGTACCCGTGTGATTCTCGTGCACTTGAGATAGGTCGTATAAGCCCTAAACTCCTAGTCTCTTTCCTCGGCGGTTTGTCGATAACTGTTTGATTCCTCTTGATCACTGTAACAAAATCGGTGAAATTTGTCCCCTATTTTCTTATCCTTGTCCACATAAAATAGTTTTCACAAGCCCTCAGATATTATCATTCACATAAAGAAAACTATTTTTGAGCAATTTTTATTAAATCAAGTGGTGATGTACGTTAACGGGGCGTTTGATATTGCTTATTTCCAACAATTTAATATATTCGATGCGACTTCGGCTAATTCACATCGTAATCGTGTTCCAAGTTTATTCGGTCACTTGCTTTGGTGTGTGATCCCTGATCAAACGTAAACAGGCGTCAGTGACTTCCCAAGTTCGTCCTGGATGACATTTTTCCAACACCCCTCTGTACCGATATGTCCTGAACACTACTCGCCTTGTAAACATTCGCTCCTGATCGGCCAATTTATGCTCCCTCCTTAGTGTTAACTGTGTAATTCGACTCGGCGAACGACTGCCTGGCTCAAAAGAACAACGACCAATGCGCAAGCCGATAGAAGCGCCATCTAGCTGTGCTGCTTTGCAGGCTTGTGTTCGTATTTTAGGTAATACAGTTTATTACGAAAATTGTCTAATTGACTACTAATGATTCGTCACTGATAGCTAATTAAAAGTTTTTCGATATAGAGGATTTTGTTAATAACTTCGTTTAGCGGCAGAATGATGACCCAATCCTCGTACTTATATTTATTCCCCGTAAAATCTCATTTCACCGCATTGAGGGTAATTACTCCCGAGTTGAGAACTACTGCGGTACTGGTTCGTTGCGGATTTACCTGTCTCTCATTTGTCAGTGCCGGTCCCGATACCAAACGAACATGAACGCTGGTGAAGACCATTGCACGAATTTCTCCATCTCTTCCAAGACTTTGCGTATCACCCACCTCAAGCCTAAGCATCGAACTACGTTCATCGTCTCAGTGGTACTGACGTTGTGCTCCAGTAACTTGTTATTCAGTGGTTTGTTTTATACTGCCTGGAGGAGACAAGTCGTCACTGTTTATGCCAAGCGTCATAGTGGTTGTTTTTTTATTTTGCATTCTGCAGTATATCTGTATCTCGCTGTTTTAATGTCTTGTACTGCGGCACAATTACCCTTTGCTAACGTGTAATGATAATATAATGCCCCTAAGCTACTACCGTGAGTGTTCGCGCTGACTCCATATGCATATTGGGCGTAAGCAGCGGGAACCGATAAGGTTAGCCGCACAGTACGTTCTCTCCATTAATCGAAGTAGCGTCCCATGACACAGTCTACCTTTAACTCAGTTGATACGAGCTGCTTGTGATATTTTTGGTTTTGAAAACCAAGATTAAGGAATAATCCCCTTGCGTTCTAATATCACTAGGTCTTGTCTAAATCAGTAACAATAATGACATCGGACTTTGGCCGCACTCTTGTAAGCGAGCTCACTAAGTGCGCTACAGCAACTCAGTTTGCGGATGCGCTCATCATTGGTTCCCATATCCTTGTTAGTCGTGGCAAATGTTCCTGATTATGCGCGCTTCACTTTGTGCAGTGAACGGTCTTAGCATCCTGCTTCCATTCGTAGTGCTTAAACACTGGGCGTCTGCTTCTCTCATATGCCAGTGGCCTGAAATTCAATAAAACACATCTGAAACTAATCGCATATTCTAACTGAGAGTCGAACTGATAATCCTTGTAATAAACTTCGGGGCTTGTGGCTATTAAGTGGTCACGTGAACGCCCCGAGAGATGTTCTATCTCCACCATGATCTTTTCGGACGGTTATTGTCCAAGGCAATTTCACTTACTGAAACTTGCCACTGACGGCTTGGCCTTAGCCTATTAGCAATCACTTGGCGGGAAGATAGACTCGCATGGGTTGCGCACCATTTAAAATCGATCTCTGACGTCCTGTCGCTCAAATGCCACTGTTTAGTCTTTCGAAAGGAACAAAAGATTAATCGCACCAAATCGTCGCTAAGTTCTCATGCGGATGTACTACCCTTGCTGTCGCGGAGGCTGTAGCTAAACTTGAATGCCAGCTTCTGCCATATTCATTGCTTCTTACAGCCGGCCTCAGCACTAGCCTTAACGCTCTTCTTGATCACGACCAATTCCCATAATGGTTATGATTTGTTTGGTACAAGGCAGTTTCCATATCTTCCCAGAATGAGTACTTCGCTGTTTATCTACAGTGCTTGTGAATGGCAAACCACGTAATATAGCACTTTTTGCCACGCCCACCATTACCTTTTTTACTGAACATTATGACCTTGGAATCAATCTTACAGCACTATCGCCATGAGTGACCTGTGTGAGAAACAGGCTTTTATCGATTGCGGCGTGAGTCCTACATAACCTATTTTTCCTTACACCTAAGGTTTTCTCGCTGGAAGCCAGTGCCCGCCTTGGATCTCTGGAGGTTCATATGAGCGCTATCAAACACCTGGCGTTCGCACCGACTCTCCCGGGCAACCGGATCCCCCATATAGTGAGTACGTGTGAAGACGGTGGAATGGGTATATGGCGCCAAGTATCCAGTGATTCGTGGGAATGCATCCGGTTTTTGCGAAAACACAAAGGCGCTGTTCTGAGTGTGACCATCCATCCTTCCAGCCGGTGTGCCTTTACGATTGGAGAGGACAAAACTTTCAGAATTTGGAACCTGATGCGCGGACGAGAAGCCCATGTGACACATCTGAAACGAGTCGATTCCACTGTTCATACTGCTATAATATCTCCCAGTGGAAAACGACTGTTGCTGCTTCGACCGGATCGAGCCGATCTCATCGACATGCACGAGTGTGATAACCACTGTTTGGGGAGAATATCTTTACCGTGTCCATGGACCAGCCCCTGTTTTTTCAACGAAGATGACATCGACTCTCAAGACAAAGGTGGCGCGGCAACAGACATGTTTGTACACCTTGTCTCCGGATGTGGTTGTAACCTACAGGCTTTTCGATGTCTTATCAGCCCCCAGGAGTCTCGGACACAAGGTGAGATTGAAAGCTTTGGAAGCATCAGACTCCCTGGCAAGCGAATAAAGGCAATTGTCGTGGCCTCCTGGTTGGACTCACACGCACGCTCTCGACTGATTGTCACCGCTGCAACAGATGCCAGCGGTAGCTACATACGAGGTCACGCAGTCAATATGGATGTTCCACTTGATTATGGGCATTCGGTCATCCCCGTGTTCACTTACGACGTAGCGAACGTTCGAGTTACCGCTGTTTCGGCAGCGTGGACAAATGCTGAATGTTGCGATGAAACAGAATGACAGTAATGACATATTTCCAGAAGCCCGAATGTTTTTTTGGTAGTAAAACTGATAGATCACCGGGGATCACTATGCGGACAGATTGTGGCGCGCAGTACCACTCTGGATTGCGTATTACTTCGAAGCACAAACTTCGGTTAATTCGACGATTGGTCTCGTATGTGAAGCATATTGACACTGTGCATCGCAATCCTTTCACATGACAAGTGCTTGAAAGTGACCCACCGTAGGTTGTTGTGAAAAGCTCTATAGGCCGGTCGGTAGCAACAATGCTTCGGCTGGCAATCCCTGTATCCCAGGTTTGAGTCGTAGTTCTGCTATCTTTGCCTGAGAAACAAGTACGAAGCGCAGTATTGCGAGGGGGAAATTAAGCGGCTTTTTATCCACGTTATCAGAAACGTATCAGGTACACTGATGCTAGATCGTAGTGCATCCGCTAGAAGTATGTGGAATGGGGTGCCGCCGTGGCGCTTACATCTAGACGGCAGCGACGGCATGAAACCGGAATGCAAAAGTTGCAAGCCAAACGGCTAGACCACTAAACCAGGATGAGCATAAAAGCAGTTAGCGAGAGTGTGGCTCGAGTTCGAAGTTGAACTGCCCAGTTTTTAAAGCATTACCGCGTAGGGGGAATGGATTTTTTCTAGATCGACTGAGAAGAGGCAGGTAAATATTGGACGCTCTAACGCAACCAAAATCACGTTTTCTTAAATTTCGTTTATATATATATATATATATATATATATATATATATATATATATATATATATATATATATATATATATATATATAGAGAGAGAGAGAGAGAGAGAGAGAGAGAACAGAATGTACTCGGCATTGGAATCATGGAGGTATAGGAACTGGAATAAGCAGAAAGCAAGTTTTTATCTAGTTATCCACTCGCATTATTTAAATTTTCATAGCTTGTTTTCTTAGGGGATGGAGAGAGCACCAACAACATGCCCACCACCGGTGTCGGTCTGAAACCAGAGGCACTCTATCTCTGGGACCCCAACCAGGGAGTCGATAACAACCGACCGAAGCCAACTGTTTCGTCAGCTTTCTCATGCCGCTTCTCCAAGTCGTAGGCTGTTTACCGTGACGGTATGTTGTCTACACAAGGTGTAGGCGCCTTGACCCTGAATGTTTGCTTAGGGCATTAGGGTTTTCAGGTAAGTCCTCCTTCTCTCCCTCTTCTTATTCTTTATTGCATAGATCCTCATGGTTGTATGGCAGCGAAGCATCAGTTCAAATGGCTGATGTACTGCTGTTGATGATGATGGGGCTGTCTACCGTGCCTCCTCCCCCAGTTCTGCCCAGCAACCGCAAACAATTCACGACGCGGAAGTCGCTGAGCGGGCAAGTCGCCGCAATTGACGCAGCGAGACGAGCTCTTCGAGCGAGTTGCTGCCTCCACCCAAGACACTCTAACTTCCACATTGCTTACGCGGTGCAGCCACCCCACAAGTGCATTTGGCTGCACGCAGCGGTACTCCAAGACAGTACAAGACGATACAAAATGGCTGTCTTGTATCCGTGCAACAGTACAGCGCGGACATTCCTCAATAAATCCGCCCTTTCACAGAGTCGGATGTCATGGTGACACAATGGCATTGATATGTTGGAAGGCGTATTTTGAACTAAATGACAATCCTTAGTGTGCTGGTTTTCAGATCGCCACATCACAATGAAATCATTTCGCAGTTTGTCAAAACCAAACGCGAGAAATACGCCACCCTCATAGTTATGTCAAAAGCTCATTAAAACTTTGGAAGAACCACCGCCTAAATGTTATCTGACGGGTCTCGCTGTCACGCACTTGATGGACCCACGGACTTCGGTAAAGCGTAGTGGCCAGAATTACCGTTTTCAGTATCATCGGCACGGCTTTACCATGTCCTTGATTTGTACGGTAACACAGATCGTACTGCGTTTGACCAACTGTTGATTTTCTTGCCGTCTCCGCAAGTGGCTACGGTTTTTAATCGTAATAAGAGCTTTACCGCTCCACGGAGATCGGCGAACTAATCGGTTACCCCAAGCGGCTGTGTTCTTTGATCGTAGTGGCTAGGAGTTACGGGCTAATCGACCGTCGGATGTGAAGAAAAGGTGCATGTAGATGGTTTAGACGTGATATATTTATTAGAATCATACGCTCAGGGAAATGTAACTGTTGTATTTGGCAATGTTGCGTTTCAGTATATCTGAGCAAGGACCCATGACACGTTCAAAGCGCTTGCGATCCAATTTCACACATCGAAGAGGGCCTTGAGCCACCACTGTTGCAGCACGTGGACGATCTAGAAGCAGGGATATTTCGCCTGTGGGACAAACAAAACCAGTCATAAAGAATCAGCGAAGGTTGTTTGATGCTTCAAGTTCCTCGCATGAACGAGACACTGAAGACATAAATGCCATAAGGTTGCATCATTAAGTACTATCTGAGTAGCGGTTAGTGGCTTCATGTCGGTTAGAATGTTAATGCATATAGACACAAACAGTACCACGAGAGCTTTCGTACAGTAACAAGCCGTTTTTACACACATAGTTCCAAGTTTCTAGTTCAGAATTATTGTACCAACAATCTTGATTAATATGACGGTTTTATTTCGGTTCGTAACCGTAAGTGCCAAATCGAAATCCGTATAGATGACTGGTGGTCATTGAGATCGGTAGCTTGCTCGTAGTTTTGTTCCAGACACTGATCTGTACATTCTGTATAACCGCTTCCGCAGCTACCGACGAAATGGTGAATGCAGTGGGCTGCGGCAGAGATACGTTGAGCAATCTCGGTCAGCCTTCTGACCGTCCAAGGAAGACGGTTCGAATGTGACTTGAATTGCAGTGGCTACATGTGTAGTTTGTATTATCACTATGGCAAGTAGATGGGCGTTTTTAATGCTGTAGCGACCCGTCTTTCATTGGATGAGTACAATCCAGTGAACACTCACAAGGATCCATGTACTCCTAACGTTTGTGTAACGAGCAACAATTTAGGCCGTACATATTCAGCGATAGTTATCTCATGAGCAGCTGTCGCAAGCAAAGCGAGCACCTAGGTGTAATCACCGACAGGTCATCAACATATTGCTTATATGCACCCATATACAGAAGTGCGATAACCAGCGCGATTCGGTCATTGCTATATAAAATATATGCTGATAGGAAATCAGGTAAATTTTTCCGTGCACAGTAGCAAATTTTCACGACACACCATGGCGATGCTAAATTCTATTGTTTCAGTAGGAAGTTGGTTGGTGGTGGTGACAGACCAGCTAATTCTCAGAAACCAGAGCGCGATCGTTAGTGGCAACGAAGCGCCAGTACTAAGTACCAGCGTACTGCATATGCCCTTTTTTCTTTAAAAAGTTGCCACAACTATAGAACATGTTACCTCGCCAGCGACAATCGCTTTTCACAAAGGCTCAATCAATTCAGTGACGTCCGGTATTGTGCACGTGGCTCTCATTTGTCTCACCGATGCAAGTAGATCAAGCAGCCAAGATGCATGCATGGGATCGGCATTGTGAGCATTTATTACGCGGATGCCCATCGGGTCTTACATTGTTGCTGCTATCATGTCATGGTGAAGGAATAGTTCAATCCATCAGTCAGTCTTTTGGGATTGTGTAACATTGGTCTTGCTCTTACGCTTCTGAAAGCTGACGGTCTTGTTGGATATCCTTCCGCCTTGTCTTTGTGGTTAGATTTATCTACCTTAACAACCGGAGCGGTAACGAAGGTGCTGGGCTCATCGGATACCAGAAACGCAGAACTGGTCGACCAACACTGGGTATTCAGGATTATTCACCGCAGTGGAAATGATAGGGTAGTCAATTTTATCGACTGGTAACGTACTACGCTCTGCTTGTAACTAATCGTCACACTCTAACATCCTTCAGATCCGTGATCTTTGTCTCCATTTCGCAGATTTGTAGTTGTCTGTACCCATATGTGCCATCTTTATGGAGGATATCAAGCTGCTGACGTTGTCACATGGGCGCTTACTGCATTACTGCCATGAAGGTGACCACACAGCATTGGGTGGCACCATCTTATTCCGTTGTATCCAGGAATTGATTAAACTGAGTTATAACGTCCATGCCAACGAAACGGCAAAAACAACTCACCAAAATAATCGGAAGGTCGTAACTTTCCAACCTCGACGGGCTCCATTGACTCTGTTGGCTGTTGCAGCACTTTGGCTGTTCCCTACAGATATAAAGTAACAAAAATCGATCGGTTACTGAAAGAGAGTAATACGTGAGAAGAACCCATGCAGGCGAATGTATAGCGTACAGGATGTTCCGTTTTGATAGACGATCTTTCCGGAGAATAGGTAGCATGTGCCTTCGACTAAATGAGACCGGGTGCAGATATTGTGTTGTAGGTGCTATCATAAGACCTGGAGTAGCACCGCTTGTCTATGGCTAGAAATTCCAAGCTAGGCTGGGTGTGTCTCATACATGGTATCAACCCACTATTCTGGTGTTTGTATCGCATGTAGGGGAGATTAATCGATGTGGTTTGATGAACTGAAAATGGGACGATGTAGTGTTGCAACGAATGAGTAGGATTATCTTGGTTTTAAGTTGCAAGTGGAGCAGTAAGCGACACAACAATTTTTTGGATGTAAACCTAGAGAGGAATACAGACGGTACGCTCACCCGATCCGTGTATTGCAAGCCCACTTGGACAGGACAGTACCGTAAAATAAGGTAAGATTGGTCTTATGGGGTAACTTTGGGCCAACATGAAAAAAATTACTATAAAATGCCACTTATTTTTATTATTTTGTGTGGTAAAATTGGTTTTGTATTGAAAATTTATTCTTCATTTATTCGAAAACATTTTATGCTGAACTGGAAAATTCAGTCCTGAGGATACTCGTTGTGAAGATGGCCTGTTTTATGACGAATGTTTAACATACGGTGTACTTTCAACTGTGAATCAGGTTTCTAAGAGAGTGTAAGTATAACCAGCTGTGTTGTCGCTTTGTCTATAAGTAAAAGTATGCGTATTTGATGTTATCCAAAACACTTGTATCATGCATTTGTTATTTTCTTGGTGGCCAACGTTACCCCAATAAGATTTTTTATTTTAGAGTAACTTTGGCCACCTGGCCCAAGTAACCCTATTAAGTAAACAATGCTAGAATACGGTGCTTAATGTGCAAGTTCAAATAAAATATAACTAGTGGTAACTATGTAATATAAATAACGATAATTACGGTAATAAGTCATTATTTAGGACACTTGGACGGAGGATGGTCCACCAGACACAGGATATAACAGGTCAAGCTCAGGCTGGTTTGACAAAACTTGCTTTTCGGACTGGTTTCAGCAAGTAACACTACTTCTCTTTCGCAGAAAAACTGACCGTTGTGTCCTTTTGGGTGACACACTCAGTCCACATTTCCTCTTGACATAGTCAGACTCTGCAATAAAAACAATATAGCTTTTTGTTGCCTCCCACTTCTGCCAGCCCCTAGGTGTAGCATTCTTTCGGCCTCTGACAACCCAGTGGAGGACTATCCTGACAAAATATAACACTCCAGTGGCAAAAAGGCCCGAAACATCCAGAAAGATGGGTTTCCGGGCTGCTCAATCAGCTTCTACATACGCAGAAAAATCGCGATTGGAATTTAGAAAAACTGGCATGTACACAATAAATCCCCAGTCTGTCCTGAACAGAATTCCAGAGGAAAATGAAGAAGATGCAGATGCCATCAGCACCTCCGTTTCAGAGGTATTCAAGCAACAACTGAAAGAAATGTGCTTTGCAACTGGTAGAAATTTATCACAACGCAAAATAGCTCTGAACGTTTAGCCTGAGAAAAGTGTCTTGGGTTTAACCGAGGAGCTTGTTATCGGAAGCGAGCATGTGCTGAACCAGAAAGTGACTGGATTGCCAACGTTTATCTAAGAGAAGCTGATTAAATGTCCTCCGTCAGTGATATCAGTGACAACCGTATAGAAATCTTTCCTGATTGTGATGACGAGTTTGTTCGACCGTCAAAGAAGGCCTGTCGAACTCGATAAAAACATTTCACAGGCATTCGCTTAAGCATTTAATAATGTTATAGATGCATTTTGCAATCTTTTTTTACATATAAACAGTGGTCTTATTTACCCTTGCGTTACACAACATTGGTTCTGTGTATGTGTTGTCTTCATGGTCAAAGTATCCCCGTTAAGGGGTAACGTTGGCCATAGTACATATTTTAAAACAACTCCCTTAAGGATATAGAACTGCATCAGTTAACATTCTTTTTACAGCATTATTACACTATGGCTCAGGAACAGATCCCTTGATAATTTTATCAAAAGCATGGATAAGTGTGTGGTACATTTCAAACCAAAAACAGTAGACCTAAGCTACCCGATCTTACGGTACCTAGACTTGAACAGTTCTTGTCCTATAGACGAGCACTGGTTCGCAGCGTTTTCGCCAGCTCGTAAGATTTGCTCTTAATATACTATTAGTAGTGAGCTGGGGCAAGTATCCTCGAAATTACATGAAAATGGATACCCTAAGAGATTTGTCGCACGATATGCAAACGCAGAAAGCAAGGAAAAACGACTGACTGGCGTCCCCAAAACAAAGTGTTTATTGCACTACCGTCTCCGCCAGATGATAAAGAAGTGTTATTATGTGCCCGAACTTCTGCTATTGCACCAAATAAGAAAGTTGCTATGTAAATCCAACCTTGACAAATCATATCATCTAGTTACCGCCTCATGTGGTTACCTCTTTCATTGTACTTGTGGTAGCAAGTACGTGGGTCTAACTGAGTGAAGGCTGTCAGTCAGGATTTCAGAGCACATGACACGTAATATGGTCGCGAACAGTCCCAAACTACCGGCAAGTTCCATTGCCCAACATATACTAGACGGCATCGTGTGTCGAAATCCCCGCGAACCGTTCAGGATAATTAACCGGCAGAGCAATCCTCGCCTGCTTCAGTTTGCTGAAGCTTCAGCAATTCGACGGCCGAAACCTAATTTATACAAACAGATTGAGTAACCTCACCTTGCATTCGCAATTTTGTTGATGGTCGTTTCAAATTTACACCATTTTCGCCTTTAAAAATTGGACATTTTGTAACAAAAAAATGGCCGCTTTGCAAAATACTTCGGACACGAGATTTTAAGCGGAAATCAGCAATTCGCTTGCAAGAAATGAGGAATAAGGCAAGGAATAATGCAACCGAATTGTGTAACCAGCGGGTGCCACTGCAAACTCTTCTCTTGATCGTGAACCTCAATCGCCTCGATCAAAGGCGGTGACTGAGTATCCCCCTATCTCCCATCTGTCTTCTCGTAGTTTATATGCTTCCGACTTTACACATGGACCTGTGTAGCTAGGTGACTATTGGAAAGTCAGACTACCCAATCGCGTAGTCTATCACGGCTTAAACAAATGTTACCTAGCATTGGAGGGTCGTTGTGAAGCACTCGTTTTGAGAATGGATTACGATGCGCCATCTCAATGTGGACCGCGATTCCCACTGAATTAAACCTTGGCCAATTCGATCACTTGGACCGTAACTGATGAAGCAGATAGGCGGCGATCCAGTTGTCCCCTGTCACTCTATGGGCCTTCGCGTATTTTGTGTGGGCCAACCTATTCAGCTGCTCGACTATTGGATCAGTGCAGGCTATCATGACTCCATCAAACACAGCATAGCTTTATTGGCCTACTGCTGCAAGTCGTTATCAAAGAAAGGGGATTAAAACGACTGGACGATGTTCAGACCACATTGTGCTCGCGCGAATGCAACGGGACTGTGCAAGCAGTGGGCGATTGTGCAAGCCTTCCTCTCGATCATTGGCGTTGTTCACCTCGAGCAAAGCCGGCGACCCAGTTGTCCCGTGTCGCTCTATGTGCTTTCGCGTATTTCCTGTGGGTGTTTGGGCGAACCTATGCAGTGCAATCACTGAAACACTTGGCTATTATGGATTCCCCAAACCAGTCTAGCTTCATTGGTTTTTCAGCTGTAGCTTGTTATCAATTCAGGGGAGTAAGTGGACTGTGCGATATTCCGGCTACATTGCGCTTACGCGAACACAACGTAACTGCATCAGCAGTGGGCGATTGTGCGATGCTTCCTCTTGATCATGAGCGTCAACTGTCTCGATAAGAACCGGTGGTCCAGTGTTCCCCTGTTGCTCCACGGGACTTCGCGTATCTTATGTGGGTGAACCTATTCCGCTGCTCGAATATTGGAACAGCGTAAGCCATGATGAATCCATCAAAACAAGCCTAATTTTGCGGGCCTAAAGTTTCGGTTTGTTATCAGGGCAGAGGAGTAAGACGACTGGACAATGTTCCCACTGCATGTTGGTCTTGCGAATCCAACGGGACTGTGCAGACAATGGTTTACTTGATCACTGGCTTCGTTTACCTCAATCGAAGCGGGTGACACATTTTGTCCTGTTACCCTATGGGCATCCGCGTATTTCCTGTGGGTGTGCGCAGGGGATCAAATGCAGCCACTGAATTACTGGAACAGTGTAGGCTATCGTGACTCCACCACACACACTCGATAGCTATTGGCCTACCAGTCTAGCTTTATCAGCCTGCCGTTCGTTATCGAGTGCAGGAGAGTAAGACAAGTGCAAGATTTTCCGGCCACATTTTGCTCATGCGAATGCAACAGAACTGTGCGACTAATAGGTATTGGTGCCAGCCATCTTGAGCATATTCGTCTTTCACCTCCATCGAAGCCGGTGACACATATGGTCTTGCACCCTATAGGCATCCGCGTATTTTATGTGGGTGTGTGGGCGAACCTACTCAGCTACTTGATTATTGGATCAGTGGAGGCTATCATGACTCCACCGGACCCAGCATCGCTTTATTAGCCTTGTGCTGCACAAAACGACCAAAATGAGCGACGAACGACAATCACCCACTGGTTACGCAGTTCTGTTGCATTCGCATGAGCAAAATGTGGCCTGCACATTGTCTAGTCGCCTTACACACAACCGACTTGTTAAGCATTCCACAGGACTTGTTAAGCATTGCATGCTTATCTGTAATACACCATTGCTCCACTGTTCGTTAATAACAAACTGCAGTAATGGGCCATTTAAACCAGACTAAGTTCGGTGGAGTCATGATAGCCTACACTGCTCGAATAGTCCTGTAGCTGCATAGGTTCGCCCAAACACCCACAGGAAATACGCGAAAGCACATAGAGCGACACGGGACAACTGGACCGCAGGCTTTGCTCGAGGTGAATAACGCCAATGATCGAGAGAAGGGCTTGCACAGTCCCGTTGCATTAGCGTGAGCACAACTGTGGTCTGAACATCGTCCAATTGTCTTAATCCCCTTTCGAATTGCAGCAGGCATCTGTTCGTCGTGGACGTTGACTGCTTTGTGTCTGTCATCCGCATAGATGACAGGTATCTGCTTGACCCTTGGGTCAGAAAGTCTTGTCATATTCGCTACTTGCGTTAGCAAGCAGTGGGTACGATCTTTATGTTGCAAACCAGGGTGGAGCCTGTCGCTTGTTCCTTTGTGTCACAGAATTGGAGCACGGCTCACCTTTTTTGAGAGGTTTGAATGCGAATCCGGCTTTCACGTTGTAAAGCCCGATCATTTATTTATCTTCGCAAGCCACACACACGACGATTTGTGTTGGTCATTTTCTCCTAGTTCAACTGATCTCATTAGTTTGTGGCGGCGCTTCTGAGGAAGTCAACTGACGATTTATGTAACTGAAAGCAAACTCAGCTATATCCATTTTTATGAAAAATGGGACCGTGCATTCTCTGGAAAAATTCACCTCTGTGATAATAAAAAAGTCTTCGCCAGGCTCCCCTTGCTTGACAACCACTTCACCATCTTCAAAGCGCACCGGTTCCAGAGCATCGGCAACCGTCAATCGTTCCCACTGATCGAGGTTATCTACAATGCAGGAAATGGGGTACTGGATGTAAGGTGCACGACGAGGAGGCATTCATGCACCACAAACAGAACGTTTTAATCAATCGATCTCATAAGGATATCTGATATGGCACGGGTAGGTACTCCCAATAAGTCACCTTATGGTAAAAAAAGCTCTAAGTCTTAGAGAACGCCTTGGAAAACAAATCTGCATGTCGGTGCCCTACTAGTGAGGCGATTCGTTTCCCTAAGTATCCGACAACTTGAAACACTGACCTGCTTCCTCTTACAACTATCGACGGAGTTCAAGAGGCAGCAACGGCGTAAGCCTCATCGAAGATTACAAGCTTTAAAAAAAAACAAATGTTGCGCCTCAAATGTGACAAGAGCGTAACAATGACTTTTTACATCTCATCATGTGTACCATGCACTGACGGTAGCAGGCACGGCGACCGAAAAAGGTAAACATCCAGTATTTGCAAACGACCGACTCTTTGGGCAACTACCGATAAGAAGTGGCGAGGTGCGCTAATGTCGGTCTTACAAACATCGGCAATCCCTGTGTGTATCCGAGCAATAATCACCTCCTAGGAGGATGTAGATCCGGTCAGTTTCTTCGATAGTATCCTACGGCCCAGCAACACCGGGACACTTCGGATGTAGTCCCAGTGATGGTGATGGTTGGTATTTAGTTCAGTACATACCGAAGTCCGAACTGACCTTGCATATCATAGTGCACATCGGTTGTTACAAAATTCAGGCATGGGTTAACCGTTGTGCCAGTTAATGCTCATGGAGCTCAGTGGTCTAGTGTTCAAGATGTTGGCCGATAACGTCCAGAGTCTCGCGGCCATCTCTACTTGAAAAGTCAAAATGAGGACAAAACTGGCCGCGGAGTGCGAGAACCACCGTTCAATACCTTCAGAGAATAAGAATGAATGTGATTGTGGACATACCAAGTATAGGCACTCGGCACAGAAACTCTTGGTACATCTTCCTGCGCCGGATTGTGCTTCCCATCAAAATACGCCGATACGAGTCTCGATCAATTCCCCAAAGTTTTACTTCCGTCTTGGCTTTCACTGTCGCGGCTCTCGGAGTCCCGTAAATCAGAGCGAGCTCCCCGAAGCTGCCACCTTCTCCAATGGTGCTGCTGTGTTCGTTGTTGATGTAGATCTGCAGGCCGAAAGCGCGCTATTAAATTTGGCGTTGGGGCCGACACACATGAAGTAGGTACTGTCAAAGCGTGCAGACGACACGATGAAATGATACCTCTGAAAATACACAGTAGACTGACAACCGCAATTAATAGGGTTACATCAATGCGTTTTCTTACATTTTTGAACCGGCAAAATGTAAAATGTTTGTGTTCGAGTGCAGCAACTATGGCGTCTTCTAAGATGGAAACCGATGCAGGCGGAGCGTTGGGGAAGGGGACGACCAAGTTCGCGAGCTCAGAACAATCGACTTCTACTACTTAGTGCATGTATGGTAAAAACAACTTCGAGTAGTGGGAGGAAGGCGCACTTTATCCGAAAACTCCATGATACCAACATATGCTTAGTGCTTACAAAAGGACTTGGAATATGTCACTTTCAATCCGAGGAAACGGGAGTCGATGTTGCATCTTGAGATACAGAAACCAGCCGAATATACGACAAGTATAATTTTGGCACTTATATTAATAACACAAAACGACCGTGATAGTGGGGGTACCCATCGAGCAATGTGTCACACGTTGCCAATAGACTATTGGCGATTCAGGTTGAACCATTAGAATTTTCGGTCATAAATGCACCAGTGTCAAAGTACCGGGAATCATGTCTGCACAATGATATTCCCCTACTTATAATGACTTCGTGTTGCCCAAGATCTTCATCAGTCCAGGCTGCGACAATGAATGCTCAGGTTAGCTTAGATCGGTTAACGCACGACCAGAGCACCGAAGTCATATGGACATGGACGCAACGACGCGCATCGTCACGGCGATAAAAAAAGTTTCGGAAGAAATAACCATACAAGTAAAATCAGTAATAAAAAGCATGACAAACCGTATAGACGGTAAAACGCAAAGGTGCCACTGTCATATCGGATAGTGTATATAACCAACGATGCGGCCCATCTCAAGGCTGTCACTCCGCGATTAGACTTAGTAGAGTGTAGTGTCCGGAAAACTACGCGTATAGGCAAGCAGCTAACAGACACGCGAGAATATGACGAAGTCAATTCAGGCAGTTTCATGTGCTGTAGATGGTCCAGTGCTGCATCGAAGGAGTTGTCAACAGATAAAGATAAGCGGACTGAAGCACATATAATCAATGCTTCATGTCTGTGGTGAAAGACCATCAGTATATTTATGTCCCAATTACACAGTAGCTATGTCTCTGATTCATGTCAAGCATCTAACTAGCAAACTCTGTACCCCAAGTTCGAATACAGGTCACCGACTATATTTGGGTGCCACAGTCCGCATATGACTAATACCTGCAGTTGCACAGCAGCTAAACATGAGTATCTGTCGCCACGCACTGATGTGAGTTCGTCTGATGATGCAATGTTTACAACCTGATTGTCAAGTTCAGCGAGCGAATGAGTACAAAATGCTGATGCTTACGGGAGCATCGGCTGCGCCGCAGAACTGCGCATGCTTCCAATATCATACCGTCTCCACGGAAGATCGAGGCCTTGAGAACCCATGCGGGTCATAGTAGTGCGTGATCCGGCTACCATGAGTAAAGCAGCCAAGCAAACAAGTGCACCGGTTGTTCAATGATAGTGAGAACTAGCGGTGTGTTGACCGACATCCGCACTCTCATTTGTTTCACCACTCTCTCAACTGCTTCCTAATTTTCCAAGCTCTTACTAATCGTCCTTATCATTGTGATGGAGTCCGGACGCATCAGAATTCACAAGTTGGACGGTAGTCGATTGGAATCGACCGAATACCTTCCACAGCGTACAGCGTACTGCACCATCCTACCCAACTGTATCCGAAACATAGCCACCTCGTGAACACAAGATAACTTTGGCCACCAGTCACAAAGTAATTCACTATTCTGAGAAATCAGTTAGGACAAACACTCAGGAGACCTATGGTCATAAAGCTGGAAACGAAGGTCTACAGCATCCTTAATGTACCCCACTTGTCGTAGGGAGAGCAGTAATACCTTCCGAATTACATAAAAGAACTGTCACAGTGGAAAACTCAGTGGGAGCACCGTTTCACTAAATGGAACGCCACAAATCGGTGAGAACAAGTGAATCAAACGCGTCCCCTGAATCTGGGAAATTTTTAAAAATGATAATCCGTCTGTACATAAAACGTTGTTCTAGCAGCTGGTGTAGGGTAGGCTGAGACGTAAGCCGGACTAGTTTTTGGTTATTTTATTCTACTCATTGCAATAGAGATGATGCCCCAATGACTATGACGCGGCTTCGTTTTTTGAGAAGGGATAACAGCAGATACAACAGCTTAGAGGTACCCCAGTGCGCCATATGGCAATGGACAGAACGGCTAGGCCAGTAAGTGACTAGTCACCACCTCCCCTCAGCAAAGGTAGGGGTTCTCATACAGATGTGCGCCGTACTGCTTCGAGACCTTCAGTTCACATGGTATTTCTTCGAGGGACAGAAATATGTAAGTTGATGTCATTATACGGTATGTAAATACCTTAACTTAGCCAAAGGCATTGCAGACAGTAACCGGAAATCAGCGGTGATGAATGTGAGCGCTTCTAACCACTTTTATCAGAACATATCATATGCATTAGGACTCCCCTAGCCAATCAGGATGAAAAATACTGAAATTAAAGAGGGGGAAGCTATAAACATGTGTTGTTCCGTCTTAATTAAATAGATCACTTGCATGGAATCACGTCGCTGATTCCTGCGCGGTGGCAGCATATTGCAGCTGCACTACATCTCATCCGAATGCGATACGCTCCCTATACCTATAGTCCGCAAAGTGGGCGTCGACGAATCTCTTAAATTCCAACACAGATTTAGCTTCGACTATTGTCTCCGACAACTTGTTCCAATATTTCACCACTCGAAGCATAGAGAGTGGGCGATACGCTTCAGATCCAGTACCACCAGTTTGTACCGGTGTCGCGTTTGCTGCTTGGCGCGCGAACGTACAGCATCGGCCTCAACATAGGGAAGTGACCCAGGTGCAGCATCCGGTGCGTCATTATGATATCAACTCGAAGCCGACGATATCACAGGGTATACAGCCCTAGTCTCCTACATCGGGTCTCGTACGACATACCCCATAAACTGGGGATGAGTCCGGTAGCTACATGCTGAACCCGTTCCAATCTCTGCACCTCACCTATTGTGATCGGACAATAGGCGGGTGAGTCGTACTCGAGAACCGGTCTTATCATGGAAAAGAACAGGCGTCTGGCAATCTCTTCAGACCAAGCGCAGAAGCTGCGTCTAAGTGCCCAAGGCAGGCGTAGTCCATTTTCGTGCAGTCTATTCGTGTTGTCGACGGACTTCAGATCACAGCGTGAGAGTATACCTAGATCCTTGACGGAGCTCGTGGGATGCAGCAGTTGCCCGGCTATGGTGTACACACACCCATTACCATCCTTCCCGAGACTCATAAATGACGGGGCCTTTAAATCGGACGTTGCATTTTCATTGGAACATCGCTCTTACTATCTGCTGCGGATTTATCAGTTTCCACTGAACCTTTTAGAGCATTTACAAGATCACTAACGCTGTCCTTGCCAATTTTTGAAGATGGATTTTGAGATCCTGCGCGAAGTTACCAAAAAGTGTTTTCTAATCTAAGGAGTTCTCGTCCGGGTCGAATACAGACTCTGGATCGTTTATTTGATTGATATAAACTTCTACTGCCATTCTATCCAGTTGTACAACTTTGGTTTTTAATGTTGTTACTTTAAAACATCCGCAGCGGATATTGTAAAATGCTGATAATGTACTTTGTGTGGTATATGAAACTTATATTGACTTTAGTTGATCTGGTTGACCGGCAGATCACAGGGACAGACGGTCAAGGTCCTGCTGAAGGACGACACAGTGGTCAGGAGAATCAATAGCCCTCCAAATCTTCGCGTCGTCTGCAGACAATGCTGTGGTACTTCGTTGGTGTACATCAGGAACAGAATGGGCCCCAGTACTGTGCCTTGGGATACGCCGCTAGTGGACGGTTACCATTCCGTTAGGTGGTCATCCACCTGTACCCGCCATTTTCTCCCAATGAGGAAACCACTGGTGCAGTGTGCCACAGCTTGTGGAAGACCGCAAGATAGATAACACCTAATGATTTCCCCCGGTTCAATGCCTGCAACCATCCGTGCGGCGTCAACAGCAGGTTGATGATGCAGGAGCGGCCCTTCATAAAACCGTGCTGTGCGGACATTAAGAGATCCTTCGATCCTAATAGCTAGAGAAGACCCTATTCAACAATCTTCTCGAGCGCTTTCGCTAAACTAGAGGTCAGACAAATTGGTCAATAATTGTCCACTTTAGTCACGTCACCGCCCTTCGGGGATCGGCTTCACTACCGAGCATTTCTAGTCGCTCAGCAATGCGCCTTCAGACAACGATCTGTGAAACAGATCAGGCACAGGAGCCGTGATGATGGCCGACATGGATTTTGGAATTAGCGGATGGAGAAATTCGGGACCAGCAGGCTTCGTGCCGTCAAGATTGGCGAGTAGACTGCGGAGATTTTCCACATCACACTCCAGGCACTCGAGTTCCGTGGGAGCTTCACACGTCGAGTTCGGAATACGCGCATGTCCACTTGTAAATACGGAAGCGAAGTGCGCCGCCAATGCGGACGCACGTTCAATGCTGGAAGCTCATCCGAGACTTCTAACACTGCTAGGTCATCTGTGGACCCCAGGCGTCGCTTCACGTAAACAAAAATCTTCTTGGGAGCTAACTTCCCTGAAGTTGGGAACTCCTCTTCGAACTGTCGACGCTTTCGTGTTTTTGCGCTGTTGCATATATTCCGCTGCCTCTTGTAGGCCTCATACTCAGCGCGATCCAGAAACAAGTCTAAAATCTCGGATGTTCAGATGTGTGATTGACCAAGGGAATTCTTCCATAAGTACAAGGGAAATGCACTCTTTTGAGATAACAGCAACGGATGGCAGTCAAATACCTGCCAAAAAGACTCTAAATAAATAAATAAATGGTATATTCTTCGGCAATGTGAGGCGCAGTCTAACTAGGTGGTCCGCTGGATGTGCGGTACGTAGTACTTAACGAACAGAAAAATCAGAAGATGCAAATTGTGAGATGACTTAGTTATTTCGTGCGAGTTCCTCAACCACGAATCATGCAAAAAATCATGGATATACAAAACGCGGTCATATGAGACACGACGGTCGGCCAACAATTGGCTAGCTAATGGTCCCATATGACCGCGTTTTATTTATCTATGATTTTCGCATGATTTGTTGTTGAGGAGTTTGCATGAAATGACTGAGTCATCTCACAACTTGCGTCTGCTGGTATTTTTGTATGGAATTATAACGGGAATTTCCTGTTTCAATTCACAAACTCATGTCACTCAAACGGTGGGCCCCTCAAGAGTGCTGACAATGACACTATTCTCGTAACGACGTAGCCAAATTGACTATGGTAGCTATGCTAAATGAAGAAAAATTTCGCCAAGGGAACGTAATACGGACAAATTAAGTGTCACCGAAAACATGAGACAACGGTAAGAATGCGACCGGGCATATGCACTAGAAAAATGGGAAACAAGGACGCCGAGATGCATTCCTTAGAGATGTCCGGGTGCGACGAGAAACAGGTAGAACCTTTTGAACGAATGACCACGTTAAAATAACTGAATATCATCAATACATGAGTGCCACGTACGGATACCTCGTTGCCATGCGACTGCATGTGGACTGAGTCATTGCAGATGCGCTCAAACCCATATAGAATCGGGAACTCAAAATTGAGCGTAGATCCAAAATTGATTAGGGGAACTCGCTATGTGATTGGGTTGTGACACCCAACCTCTATTCAGACCTCGGTCATACCGATCGCAAAGACCGTATCCGAAATGGATTTGTTTTGGTATTGCTCCTCCCAACACTGGCACACCACGACCTAAGTTCCGTCCTGGTTTGGACCCATCAGGTGGCGATAGCCTGATCTGGGATGGAACTCAGAGCCTAGTGTTGGGAGGAGCAACACTGAGCGTAGATGTTACAAACTGGATGCTTGAATCAGCACACGACGGATGGTCAGTGTTTTTATGTGAGAAAAACATGCGCCAACCCCCGTTTTAACTGGTCTCGTAACATGTATGCGCGATAAAAATGGCATAAAACGCGTCAGCAGTAAGCCGGTAACTGGTACGAACGCTTCACCAACACGAATATCGGCAGTCGTCGCATGTGGTGACATGTGGAGTGCTAGGAGGACGTCTGAACCACTACTCGGCTACCGACCGGGACGAACAAAACCGTTGGCGTATGCCCTCGGCTTGCGTCACACTCTCCCAGCGTGCCGTGTTCACGGCTGTAGTTGAGTTTTCAGCTCAAACATAGTGCTTATATGCAACTTTAATTTGGTGTTCAATAGCTTGCTAATCGGTTAACCAATGAGACAACTGGACCAGTAGAGCAAGTAAGAAAAACGAATGGACTACCCTTGCGATATCATTTTGCGCCAACAAACTGATAACTAACACTCCCAGGGATTGTTGCAAACAGATAATAATGCAGACAAAAGCAGTCTGAAAATGATAATGGTGCACAATAGAAAACGGATAAATAGACTTAACGTAAGTACAACGCGTACATCGACTTCCCCCTGATCGATTATGTAGAAATTGTCCCCCTCGCCACCTTGCTGTATAATGATGTCGCCGGGACTGCAGTGCACGGGAAACATGGCGTCGAAAATGTCACTAAAATGTTCAAAGAAACAGGCTTCTAGAAATGTGAACAAGTAGACCCTGGCAAAGACAAGTAACATCAACATCACACTGTGTGATGAACTGAACCAAAACGAAAAGGGACTGAGTGATACCTGATTAATCGACCTAAAGAATGAGTTTCCAGGATACATATTACCAAACTGTGTCTATCAGGAGAGTGCATTTGACTGATAGTGATGGTAGAACAGAACTTGAGCGAATCGTTCGGGCAATTCTGTATACATAAAAAGCACGATCAATTAGAGGGGATTTATTGTGCGAAATAAAGGCCTCCACGTGCATAGGTAAACACCGCTGCATCTGTTGGAGAACAAATTCCAGGTGGTTAAGGTAACGAAGACGACACGTTGAAGGCAGTTGGACATGCTTAAGCGCTTGTGACCAAAAGGGCGTAGTGAACGGAACGCTAATATCTGCAACAGAACCGTAAAAACAAATCTTAACTTTCATCAAAATGGCGCAATCATCCACGGGATAACTGTGGTGTTCGCTGATGCATATGTACCTGCGTATGTGTAGCCGAAAGCGTCTGCCTTTCGCTAAATTTCAAACTCACAACAACTCCATGTTACCGGGTGTACAACAACACATACCGTATCGGCACGATCATTCCAACAGTAAAACAAAATGTTCCTTTGAAGCATAGGTCTCTCTAAGCGTAAGCAAAAAGACCTAACTCTTGCAACAACCCAACTGTAACGGTAAAAAAAACATCGAGATCCGAAACAGTTTGGGTTTGAATTATGTCGAGGTAGTTAGCGCAGTGAGATCAAAAAGAGCTAATACGGTCATCTGCAACGGTCGTTAGGCAAGACTGCGACAAAGTGGACGTCTTCCGCACTTGTCTGCGTAGCACCGGTGCTTTCGTGTCATACAGGAATGTTGTCCTTACTGACGAAGAATGAGGGCGGGGAACCAGACACGTTGGATATTAATGGGTCAAACGAACATCTAGAATCAAAGACCACAAATGCTAGCACAACCTGGCTACAAACAGCCGACAGTAACGGGAAGAAGTAGCATAAGCAAGCCAGCACTTTGCGTCTTTTACCTTCTGGAGTGGTAACAAACCTCACCCTACAGGTAACTCAGCATTAGCACACTATAAAAATGATACGACAGTAAACACGCCAATGATTCCTGTTGTGAACTGTCATGCAACGCCTTGAGTCCGCTAACCAGTAAAACGCTTGGGCATCAGCTTACGGATCCGAATGGGAGAGATGCAACAAATTAGCGGATTAGTTTAAGAAACAAGGATTCGGTGTCTTAATGGCTGGCAGCAATACCTGTCAGTGGTGCAATGCTTCATTTAGTCTAAGCAAGGGTCGACGCTTTGATATTTACTTGCTTAGGAAGCGATGTCACGAAAGGTAAACGCCTTGGTAACTACCGCGGTCGATACGTAACGAACTAGTATCGACAGGCAACCGACCAGGCAGATTCATTTGACTGTGTCTTAAGTTTCGGGCAGAGGAGAACCACTGACCTGAGAGCCATGAAAGCACAAGCGAGTTCGGTCCCAGCAGCTCCGAAGTTGCTAAATAAGTTTGTAAGAGTAAACCCCGAGGGGAATCAACGTGTTGGAAGATGAAAAGTGGGGGAAGTACACCACAAAATGCCGTCCAGCGATATCGGTCATGGGCATTTGGTGTGGGCCGTGGAGTTAGGACTGATGACACGTTGAATTTCTCTTCCGACTGCGTGGAGGTCACCTGGATTAGTTTAGTTGAGAAAGCCTTGAAATGACCCCCCGAATCTCGAAGTATGCCACCCACTCATAACACACATATATTTAGTGCGCGATATTATGAAAAATCAGAGAGTAATACAGTTGTACATACCTGCGCTCGCTTTCATCCAAATGTTGGAAGAGCACGTTTTTCGCGATCGCTTTGGACAAAGCCGTCATTGTTTTGTAGTCCTTTGGCACAACCTCGAATGGGGAACAACAGATGAAATAAGCCAGATTGGCACTGGCAAGCAAAAGATGTGAGAAATGTAACGGTTAGACAAAAAACTGGATATCTCGATAAAATACGGTCCGGGACTCGTGTAGTCAAGTCAAGTCGGTATAAGCTTTATGTACACAAAAGAGTGCATTTTCAGCATTTACATAGTCAACTGTAAATTTACCAATGGGCCACCATTAGAAATGTACAGTTTACAATTTGTAGAAAAGTGAGGTTTCGTTATCATTGATCGATCGGGCAACGATTTAAAAAAACTGGACTAAATCTTCGGGATTTGTATCCAGTGAAAACGGAAAAGGCCTCATAAGAATGTTTATTCAAAATTTGCTTCAATTGACAAAGAACTTTGTGTCCAAATACAATAGATCGCGGATCGTGCGCGATATCTCTCGTGTATGTTCAAAGTTGAATGGTGAAAAGTGGAAGTTGATTGAACAAAATATCTGTCAGCGTAATCGCACAGTACTGAAATACATACAGTAGATGATGTGAAAATAATGGTCGGCGAAAAACGCAACGGCTGATTTAAAGGCCCCGTCAGTGTAGTGCTATGTATAAATTCCGTTGATTATTCGAGTGTAGTTACATGTCTGTGTGATTGACGTGACGAGGGAAAATTCACATCTACGGCTGTAGTCTCTCGCCCGACAGCAAGCGAGAGAGATCAGTGGCTGTTGTGAAAATGTGAGTGATTGCCAAATGAGAGCATTACGCCCCCACACGAGAAATGTTTCCTTGTAAAAGTCCTTGAACGTCTGAACCATCACCTTCTCACTACTTCAGTGCGTTTAAGAAATCATCGAGTGCCTGCGCAAACATTACTGCATCGTCCGTTGTGGACACGAAAGCGTTGCGCCGAAGTGGAATGTATGCAGTGGACTGCATACTTTTGCTAAGACACCTGAGGTGGCTCGGTCATGTGTGGCGTATGGATTCGACGCGGATACCGAAGCACACATTATATGGTCAGATGAGTTTGGGGAAGCGACATGTGGGGAAACCGAAGCTTCGTTACCATGACATGATCAAAGTGAGTCCTCTCACGTTCGTATCTTGATTGCAGGTCATGGGAATCGAAAGCGGTTGATCAGTGTGCATGGCGCGAACTGATCACGAAGGTCATTGCCGAGGTGCAAGAGAAAGCCCTCATGTATATAGAGGGGAAGCGACAGTCGCCGATGGGTTGTACTCCATCGACGTCGAGCGCATGATGCTGTAGCACATACGGCCTAGTGTGCCAAGGGAGAGGCCACTTGAGGCCAACACCCAAACGACGAGGAGTCCTGCAGAGGACGTAGGGAGAACCGGCGCAGCGTTTGTAGGTACGTTGCATTCGATTTACTAACCACGTACTTGCATGCTGAGTATCTCTAATTCAGTTAGTGGGTTTGCTATTTTGCCCTAATGCTTTTTATTCATATTAATGTCTATAAGCTTGGATACATCCCTCAAACTAATTTAGTTGACTCCGATAACATTTTCGTGTTTGTGGCATTTTCTTAAAAAAATCTTTTCTGACATCTTTAACTTAGCGGATTTGTTCGTAACCAATTTATTTCATGTGCTCATTTAATGAACAGTTATGTCACCATATCTGTATGCATTATTCGTTTTATTTTATTTGATATCGTCGTTTCAAGTGATTGGTTGTTACTTGATATCCCCGGTGTGGCTACGCTTGATGTGCACGTTCACTAGGTGCCTACCTATCTAGTACCCACTACTTCGTCCATACTGGCTCTAGGGATCAGTTGGTCATTGCTGGAGGGGACAGGTGCACGGTCTTTGTGGTCGTGATAGGCTCGAAGTGTGGTTCCATGCACTCAGTGTGGAGCGGACTACAGTCCAGCCACCGCCTTGTGTGCGGTTGATTCCCCAAATACAGCGTGCTTGTGTTTGCCTGTGAGGAGTGTGGTCCGGCTCCGTTGATGAGACTTGGCTCCCATCCACATGCCTCCCGGTCTTATTCCTTCGGGTTTACACTGGATATGGGGTGTGTGGATGGAGCTGTGGGTAGTGCAGGGCAAGCCAACCATGGTCCCTCTGTAGGCGCAGGCGTCCTGTGGCTGGCCACAGTGACAGGCAAACCCATAACCGGGTGCCGCCAAGCATAACTCCCTGACGGATTCATGCAGGTCTACTTGGGGGTAAGCGTGGCTTAAATCACATTTTGTAAACTTTGGCCATCTGACAGAGTTGCGTATAGGTTATCTATCCACGGATAGGTAGGGTAGTGTTTTGACGCCGCCGCTTGGTTAACAGTCAATTTATAGTCACCACTGATACGGACGGTGCCATCGGGTTTTTGTATTGGAACAATTAGCGTGGCCCAAGATGAGTGGTGTACTGCCGATAATATTCTATAAAGCAATTGGGACTGACACTGATCAGTGGGCTCACGTGGTCTCCTCACGCGAATGAAACATGCACTGAGGTTAGGAGACTCTCATTCTAGATTACACGTCTCAGGTCCGATCCACCGTTTCATCAATGCATGTGGGTTGCATTACTGGACCTATTGCTCCCCCATGCACTTCCCTGGTCCCCTGAGTAAAGTAATTGCCAGATCCGTGAAGCATCTATCCCGGTGTAGTGGCAATCCAAAGCCGGAACTTGTCAACAGCATTGTATCCAGCCATTTCAACTCCACAAACAAACTTGCATCTAAAATACTCACCGATGTTAACCACCCAATCCAAAGAATGTTGTCCAAATGCCCACCAACCTTCTAGACCAGATGGATATACAAAACTATATATGCCCGCACAACGGTCTATGCGACATCAGTAGTTCTCACTTCTCATGTTTTTTAATCGATAAAAATTTAGTCATTTAAGACAATAACAACAGCAGCATTAGATCAGCCATTTGAACTGATGCTTCGCTGCAATGCAACCATAGCGACCTACGGAACGCAGAATAATAAGAGGCAGAGAATGGGGATCTGGCCTAAAACCTTAGTGCCCTAATCAAGGCGCCCATACGTTATCAAAAACATACCGTCGCAAACAGCTGGCTATCGTGCAAAGATAAGCGGCACAATCGAGATAGCTTTCTTGCGGCTTTCACTGCCCCGCATCATGCTCAGCCTCTACACCGCAGATAAATAAGCAACAAACACACTTTAAACAGGCAGTCCCACTCGAATAGGACAGTAGACACGCCACTGGTACTGCCTGCGAGCCAAGCACAAGGCAGGTCACGTAGAAGGCGAGATGCGCCAACGGCACTGTCGTCCGCTACCGGGTTAAATTTTGCCAATCTGGAGCCTTACGGCACACTATAGTTGGAAAAAGAAAACTAGGCCCTTCTGGATAAGCTGTGACCGGTTTTACATTGCACCTGCTACGCGAACGCCGGCCCACGTAGACTTAGGGATTACAAGTCTGACTCGCAATCTGAGGACGCAGGTTTGAGACTGTGTAGCAATCGGGCGACCCTCGCAGTATCCCTAGACCACCTGCCGGTTGTGCCAGTTGCGCGGCAGCAAAGCGTCGGTACTGCATACCGGCCTACTGCTGATGCTGCCGCAACGAGAGGGGACGTTAACATACTTCTTTCTTTTCTATCTGTTTCTCTTACTCCCCTCCCAACCCCCATTACTAACCTTACTTCTATAATTCCCAGCTTAACTGACAGCAACCGAAGTGTCCCTGGAGTAGAACCATCTGCAGCCACCTTCCCGCAACAGTCACTGGATGCCTATCGGTAACAGCCTCTTATAAAGCCACGCTGTCTCGTTTCGTTGGCGGAGTTCAACGTTCGCACCCAAAGACAAATCGGTCAACAGGCTGCACTTGCACGCACGTTGGACATACTGGGTGCTGACGTGTGTTGAGTATCCGAAACTAGGCTCAATGACCCTCATGGGGTTTGTAAAGTCCATAAGGAACTTCGATGTATCCACAACCTGGATTCCTTACTTGAGGACACTGTATCTCTATTCCCTAATTATTATGCTCATTTTACATTGCTTTACTTTGTGTGCTACAATCGGTTACCATATTGCACATTTATTCCTTTCGCTCTCGATCACTGAGATATCCTTGACGTTTTAAGGTCATCCATGTTATTCTGTTACTGTGGCACTGCCCAAATAATACTCTCAAGCTGCCGCACGCTTTACAATTTCTGCCCTCACACCATGATTACAAAACACATGCTTAAGTTATGTACTGTATTTAGTATGCCTTACAGGATAATTTGTTTTATTCTTCTGCACGGACCATGCGTTGAGTCTAGATTTATTTGTTCGTAGTTCCTAGTTTAGATTTCGTAGTTTAGACTTCGTATCGTTGGTACAGGGTTGTTGAATTAACTGCATTGGGCTTGTTCTCTCGCTATTGATTGCATGCATCTGGAGACAGTGATGCGACAGCGTATGTTCAAGGAGATAGTTATCGTACTCAGCTCCAAGGCTGTCATAGTTGATTGATCGGATTCCGGTGAACAGCCGTTCGTGTGCAGCCCGTTTGACGACATCGACCAAAGTTGATTCACGAATTAGTAGTACAAAACGCTGTTTGTTTGTGGTTTCTGCTTATGCTCCCACCGATTGCAGTTCTGATGCTGCCCAAAACACCTTCCACGAACTGAATACGCTACTACGCAGTGGTACCAGTTCAGATATCATGGTACTTGCAGGTCGCCAGGGATCTTCAGAAACCCAGCTAGGTGGTAATTATGGGCTTAATTATGTGCCTAACGTACGAACAACGGCGAGCGTCTTTTGCAACTGTGTGAGGAGCACCAGTTGTTCTTAGTAGCACTGCTTTCAAAAACACTGGGCGCCGAAATGTCAATTAGTGTCCTCTTGTAGCTGGTTAGCAATGGACTCAAATGGAGCACACTGACATAAGTTACAGGTAGCGTGGTTCCATCCTGAATTATCGCTCGTTCTGGAGTACTTGCTTCGACCCTGATCTTGTCTTGATACGCTGTCGCTTTTCCATGAAATTTACTG